AACGGCGAAAACAAGTTGAAACTAAATTTTATACTACGTCCACATGTAAATTACACATATACTTACATGAACAATACGTTTTATTTTATTTTTCCACATGGCGTAGGTACAAATCAATATATACATATACATATACATATATATACATACATAAATTTGTGTTAGTTGATTTTAAAAATTAAAAAATACAAATTTCCAGTAGCGGAGGTAAAACAGCATGGCAAATGTTGTTCCTAATAATGATGTCTGACTTAAATTAAAAATTAAATTAAATTAAACAATATATATATATATATATATATAAACAGTCACCTTTCTCGTATTGTTAATAAAATAAAACATTCATGAATTATGCAATCTTATAAAATTACATTATTTATTTGAAACATTTTTTTAATTTGTATTGACAATTAGATTAATTAAATAGAATAAATTAATCATCCACCATAACATGGCCTCCCCTTAATATATATATATACATATTTATATATACATATACCATACTACATGGATAAAGTGAGGTAACGTTCAATTAGTTCTCTCTCTCTCTATATATATATATATATATGTGTGTGTATTATTGAAAAGAAACTCTTGTGAAAGTCTTTTTCTTTTACTTTTTTTTCACATGGGTTATGAAGTACTATTAGTTTAGCTCCATTAATTTATTTTTAAAATTTAATACGCACTATGATATATTAATTTTATAAAGATAATTTTTTGTTAATCTCTTGATTAATTTATTAATAAGAATTTCAATTTGTATAATAAATTATCTTTGACTAATAAATTGAATTTTGTGTATAATATTAATGGTAATAAACCAAAAAACAAAAAACTAGTGAAATTACTTATACCATACACTTTTAAACATCTTCTAATAATATATAAAATTATTGCAATAATATACTAATAGTGAAAAATAACTTGAAGAATACGAATTGAAAATTAATTTTGTAATTTGTTATATATTAAATTTTATTCGTTATTTACACAAAATGAAACTTCTTAAATTTTCACTATTAAAGGATACAAGTTACGGACAAAAGAAAAAAAGAAACATATAGATATATATATATATGGAAACTTCATCGTGTTACCGCTATTATCAAAATCAATATACAATAAGAGACGAAAATCGAGAGAATTAGTTAAACTTGTTAAAATTTTATTATGTATTTAAGAGTTTATTAGTAATGAGTTTATTTAATTTAACAGTTATAGAATAGTAGAAGTATTTTCTTAACGGGTTATGTAGTTATTTATTTTTTGTAATATTTATTTATTTTTATTTAAACGAATTAATTTTATTAGTAAAAATTATTTGAGTTCAGTTCAATTTTTTTATTACTTAATTTCAATAGAACTAAATTTAAAAAAAAAAAGTAATTCTTGATGTGTATTACATTAACAAGATATTTAATTTAATTTTAAATTTTAATTATGACTTAATTATTTATATTTAACGTATAATCAATTCAATTTTATTTATAATTTTAATTTAAAAATGACAATATTTTAATTTTTGGATCCGATCCGGTTTTTACACCGGTTTTTAAAAATAAAACCGGCTTGGGATAAGAAACAGGATAAGAACAAATTTTTAAATAAATAAATGGCAAAAAAAAACTTGACTCCATGAGTGAGAGTTGGGGGGGACCACAAGAAAGTGGGTAGCAAAACTGGGGCCCACCAGGCTTGGCATAGATCGACAAACGAGGACACGCACCTCATGGGTACGGGCCATGCCAGGTGGCAACGGATCCCACCTCCACATGCGCGTTTCCCACGCGCCTCGCGCTTTTACTGCGTATTAATTATCACGCAGCTTCCTCGCCCGGCCCCGTC